AATTGGTAAAAGTGTCCTTGATAAAATAACCTTAAATACCTTAATACTTGAGTTCCTCTAGAACTTGCCTATACACCCACGGTTTCAAAAATAAAAAGAAAATAGAACACAAAGTGAATTGCCATTATAATGATTTCTCTCTATCACAAAGGAAATGGAAATGTTGCTCAAAGTTTGTTTGCTGAAGGTTGTCTAGAAGGTTAAAAGATCATAAGCAGTTTTTAAATGGTTTAATGGATTAAATTTAATAAAAAAAAACCAAAACCAAAACCTGAGTAATGTAAGTTACATACACTATGACAAATACAAAAATTCATCTCAAGAAAGTGAAATTCTAGACAAAATGGCTAAAACATGGTAGAAAACTAAAAGGAATATTAGTCATGAGGAGGCAATCCCCGCCTTTTTCTCACAGTCAAGTTTACCACCTGGCACTACAGCTAGCCAGGAAACTGAAAAACCTGCCAGGAAACCAGCCACAGTCCCATGTGCTGCTGCTGGAAAAAACAAATTCCACTGCTTATCATCTGGGCCCCGCAGCTGCCAAGCACACTCTGCATGGGGTGAAACATCTTTGCACTGATGCTAATGAGCACAATCAGGAAGAAGAACTGCAGTATGTTCAACAGCAGTGCCAGTCGAGGAAGGAATTAAAAGATCCAAACTAGTCTTCAAACAAGAGTGTATCCATGTCTCTTCAGTAAATGTGCTCTTCTTCAGAGAAAGAAAAAAAAGATGCAATGTCTAAAGGTAAGCCTGAAAAGATATTGTTCCTTACAGACCAATTGAGGATTCTGATCAGCTTACATTAGAAGTTAAGGATTCTGATGAGCTAATGACAGAAAATAACATAAAATTTTTATAACGGAAGAAATAAACTTCCTCATCTCCAAAAATCATCCAGATATCTTAAAATGTTATAATTTCTCTAAGATACCAACTACTGAAGAAGAAACTTTTTTGTCTTTGTTCAGGTGGTAAGATTTAGGATCCCAGGTTAACAAAGCTTTCTTTTCTAAGTCTCTTCTGCAGTCTTAGGAATTCTGTTTGCAATATGTAATTGCACATTGCTTGGAAGAGATACAGAAGATTTCTTTAATTGATTACCTGATCTCTCTTGTTGTGTGAAATGATTTTTGTGAGCACAGACAGCCTTGTAGGCTCAGATACTGCATTTGCCACAATACTGTGATGTACCTGCTTTAAAGAAGACTTTGGATTTCACTTATTGATCAAGGAAAGTACAGACTGAAAAGTTGCTAAAAGCTGCAGTCCTCTCTCAACATGTCATGAACATCCAAAGTTCACTGGTGATTGCTCTAAAATTCTAAGAAAGGTGCAGATTCACAGAAAGATATCGACAAGCTACTGTATCAGCAGGGTTGGAAGCAGAAAGAAATGGACAGTTAATAATAAATGTACTCTTCCTTAGTAGACAGTTGATAATAAAGTACTCTTCCTTAATACTTTGGAAAGGTTTAACTTAAAGGCCTCACTTAGCAGGACACAAAATCTAGGTGTTACGTACCTCCAATGAAGGCAGCCACTCTGTATGCAATACAGAAGAGCATGTCATGTTCTAACCACACTAATTTTAATTCAATTTAAATATACAACCACCTTTTCTGAGGTTTTTTCACTTCTAAAAACATCGTAGGCTTCCCAAAATTATGTACATTAATGAGTAGCTCAAATCAATAACAGGCATTAAATTACCAAAGATACTTTGGAAATCCTAGTACAGAGAAACATTACACAGACAAAAAAAGGGATGTGTAGAGGAGATGGTATATTCTCAGGTTATCCTATCTTTTACTGACAAGTTAAAAAACCCCAAAACTGCAGCTCTACCTGTCGTTGGCACAATCCACTTTGGCAGTCCAGGTGCTTTTGTTCTAGCTGGTGCTGTTGTGGTTTTACTAAGAGCTGTGAGAGAGTTTAAAAAGAAAAAAGAAAAACAAGAAAAAAAGTTCCATGAGAAGAAAACCCAACAGACTTTTATGTGATGCCAACAATTCCACAAAAAGTAACATTTGCTGTGATGATACACATAGTTTTGGTTTCTTTAGTTCTGATTTGGAAAGGCTCTACCTCTAGACTGATTAATTGAAAGAAAAATATCCCTTTTTCCCAGCAGCACTCAAAATTCCACTGAGAGAGAATAGGTGAAATTAATTAATGAATTAATATGTTCCCCATCCCAAATTGAATAAACAATTATTACCAGGTCCAGTCTGTGATTTATCAGATGGCTTTGGTCTTGCAGAAGTGAGACGTGTTTTATGAGGTGCTACAAGAAATAATGTTCAGTTTAAATGTTATGTGTAAAAGGAACACCAATACTGCAGTGTAATTTGCCAGAAAAAAGTTCCATGCACCAATGTGATACAGCAAAACGAACATATGAGAATTCTATGAGTTCCAATCCAAAATGCACGCTGACAATTATAGTTTCTTTAGTGGTCAGATGACTCCATCATGCAGTCTGACCAGTTACATTCATGTTTAGGTTTAGGAAAAGATATAAAATATTTACAGCCAGTTACCCAACTGTATATGGATACAGAGTTAGCTCTGCAAGGTATCCATGGCCTTAAGACATTTAATTAGGTTCTGTAAAAAACAAACAAACAAAAAACCTCAAAATAAAACACGAAACTAAACCCCATCCCAATCAAATATTTAGATAAAAACATTAAACATTAAAATATTGCCAAGAAAACAACTGGAAGCATTTAATGCAGCCACTGTGTAGAGATGCTGAAGCATAGTGTCATCATCAAGTTTAAAATCAGAAGCCTTCAATCTTTCTTTATTTTCACCTTTCACTTGCCAAATAATTTTGGTATTTTAGTTGTTACAGATTCTGTGCAAATCACACTGGAAGGTGAAAGCATCAGCAGTAGTCACTGTCACCTTGTGCCAAATTATCAACCTCAATAAATCAATTTTTTAAATAAATAGCTAGCTATTTGATATTCAAATCTAATAACAATTCTATCCACAACACTTAATCCAGCCTCTCAGAAGTGTCAGAGAACATACTTATGCAGGAAAGAATATATTACTCATTTTTGACATTTACGTTTGGGAAAAATTTTACAGATTTAGTTTTAGTATTTTATAAGGAAAAATGTGGAAGTAAGTTACATCTGTGTCTGCAACACTATACATCTGAGGATTCAATACACAGCACTAATACTGTTTAAAAGTTTCATATCATCTTTGAGGCAATACTGATGAAATCTTGAATTTCAGAGCAATGAACAAAAAACATTTGATAATGTGGAAAAATACATTTTCATGCCATATATTTGAAATAGTTTTAAAGGCAACAATGAACAGATCATTAAACCTTAAACCATACTGATTTTACTTAAGATCCACAGACTCGTAATACAACAACTTAAGAAAATTCTAAAAATTACCTTTACTGAACCGTGGCATTTCAGTTGCTTGAGCAGTTTTGGGCTTGGGTGAAATCTGGTACGTTTCATTGGGAACTGAAAGTGGAGATATTATTGCTTATCAAATGTAAATTATTTCCTTTTAAACATAAGACATCACAAGTGGAAGGGAAATTCAAACTATCTTTGTGCAGACCATAAACAAAAAGAGTCAGTGCCAGAAACTTGGCTGAAAACTGTGCTTTTATACAGATAAAAGACTATTTGAGACTGGGAAGATATATATCATTAGTAAGTCAGGCAAAAGAAGAAAAGATGATCAGGTAATGCCTTTTTATATTAATCTTCAGCCTTATACATGAAGTACTTATTTCTAGAAAAAATTGCATGAAAGAAAAAATGGTTGAAAAATTAAAACTAGCAATATTTTGTACATGCACTGGAATGTGACTAACTAATTAATACGACATAAAGATAAATTAAGGTATTTCTGTTGATTAAAGTCTAAGTTTAGCCATATAGCAAAAGCAGAGAAAGTAAAGTTTTATGAAAAATAAACTGACATAATATTCTCATTACCCAAAGTCATTTTGGACCCATCGACAACATGAACTGTTATAAGGTTAATTGATCCCAGGTGTGTTGCCCTTGGAGCTACAAGAAATAAAACATTGTTCTGTGAGAAGTGAAATTAAAGAAGTTGGATTTCATTAAGGATCTGTGTCCTTTGTTTCCTAAAACCCTATCTACACATCTGCTAAGACAATTTTAACAGACATGAGACAGACACGTGTTCTGATTAGTCTGGATGTATTTTCATGCTGACAGCCAGACAGTGCAACTATTCTGCTGGACCCTCACCAACTTCAGAACAAATGCTCTAAAGGTGGAGTTCTGACAGTCTTTGGTCTTTCTCACACTGGGTATATCAATTTGTACTTCCCTAAAAAAAAATTTTCTAAAAGTTTGTAGTAATGTATTTGTCTTTCAGAGATTCTTCCCTCAATCAAATTTGATTGAATTTAGTGAAAGATACTGAAGTTACTGGATGAAAAGGTGAAACTGGCAGGCAGAAGCACACACTACATGTCTCTCTCTTTGAGAAATAAGGTTAAAATATGGAAGCTGGGAAGTAACCTACTTGCTAGCATAAAGGGCAGTGGCTAAATAGTGCCATTTGTTTTTAACAACTTTCCTAACAGTAGTTTATTTTGTATATAAATCATTATAATGATTTAAAATTTAAAAAGGAAAAGAATAAACCTATAAATTCTGTTTTCTAAAATTCTTCACCTAAAACTAACTTTGTAGTGGTATCAAAAGTGTCACTTGTTAACTATAATATGATTCGAAATAGCCCTTATTCAACTGACACTTAAAATCTAGCCTGGTTACTAAAGTCTTTAAAAAATAATTTTTTTTCCTGGACTATTTAATTTGATTTTCATAGTTTTAT